AATTTGAAAATAAGTTATTCTAATATTAATTATTATTGTTATTTGTTTTGTTCTTATAAAATACAAATTTTCACTTTAGGTTTATGATTGAATATCATCACATGTGTTATTCCCATTGATTTTATTTTCTGGTTTTGTTTTTTTTTTGGTACCGGGGATCAAACTCAGGACCTTGCGCTTGTGAGTCAGGCACCAGAACCACTGAGCTAAATCCCCGACCCAATTTTACTATTTTGAGGCAGGGTCTCACTATGTAACCAGGCCAGCCTTACACTCAGGCAATCCTGCCTCAGCCTCCTGAGCGCTGGGGTTACAGGCAGGCACCACCACGCCCGCCTCTATCCCTGGAATTTTAGGCAACACTGTAGACATTGTATCCATAATCTCCCCACCTGGAGCTAGCGGTGAGTATGCAGCGTGTTGCAGTCCTGCAGCACTGAGGCACGGATCAGTGGCTCTCTCTTCAGCCCTGAGCTTCCGCAGTCCACCTCGCAGAGAGTCATGCAAGCACCTGCTGCTGGCGAGGCTGGTTTCCAGCCTGAGCTCTTACAGACAGCCCAGACAGGCCTCAAAGTCCCCGTGGACCTTGGCTATCACTTCCCATAGGCAAGCGCACAGGTGCAGGGTCCCTGCTCACAGGGGGCGTTTGTTTAGCCACACTGTTTACGGAGTGGTGACACTCCAGGGACCTGCCCTCCACCTCCTGGCTCTCTGGCTGGAAGCCTGAAAATTACACTGACGAAAGACAGGTGAAAAGCCAGACACTGTGATGCACGCCTTTAAGCACAGCATTCTGGTTTTGATTTTTTTTTTTTTGGTACCAGAGATCGAACTCAGGACCTTGCACTTGCAAGGCAGGTGTGGTGTCACTGAGCCAAATTCCCAGCTAATCACAGCCTTCTGGAGGCTGAGGCAGGAGTATCACAAGTTCAAATCCTGCCTGGGCTGAGCCCTTGTACCCAAACAAACAAACCAAATAAATAAGAAGGGCTGGGAGCCAGGCACAGTGGCACAGCCTGTAATTCCAGCACTTGGGAGGCTGAGGCAGGATGATGGCTGTCAGTTGGAGGCCAGCCTGGGCTACACAGCGAGACCCTGTCTTAAGGGAATAGCGCCCTGTTCATGGCTCCACCTGAGGGAGCTAAGTGGGTGGGGGACTGTGGGTCACCAGCAGGGCCAGGTGCACCGGGGTCCCTGGGCAGGCCAGTCTCTCTCCCAGAGATGCCGCATGGCAGCCCAGAGCGTTTGGGATCTGTTCCTCCCTGGTCCTCAGTGCAAGGAACCCTTGGGCCTGGGGCGGATCCCGGTGGCTATCGTGGAGCAGCAGCCCTGTGCGGACCCACGGCGTCCCCACTTTGTCCACCTGTGGGGGGTGCTGGGGTGGACCCGGCCTTGGACGTCCCAGGCCGGTGCCTGACCACCAAGCTATGCCACCTGACTTTGTTTTGCTTTTTGAGACAGAGTCTTGCTGTGTAGCCCAGGCTGGCCTTGAACTAGTGATTCTCCTGCCCCAGTCTCCCAAGTGCTGGGACTACAGGTAGGGGACACCATACCCAGCTCATGCCCTTGGACTTTGACCCTCCTGCCTCAGCCTTCTGAATAGCTGGATGGCTGGAACAGATGGGCATCACTGTGCCTTGCAAGCTGTCCCTCCGGCCTTAGCCTCTGGAGTAAGTGTGTGGGGACAGCTGTCTCCTGTGGCTCTCCTGTGCATTTCTTTAGTGGCCTACGAGGTGGACAAGTGCTCTTTTCCTAGTTCCCTCTCCTGCACCTCCTTGGGGGAACTGTCTGCTCACAATTTTCACCCGGGTTTTGGGGTTTGCTTTTTTTTGAGACAGGGTCTCACTGCATAGTGCAGGCTGATCTTGAACTCACTACAAAGCCCAGGCTGTGTTGAACTCCTGGTGATCCTCCTGCCTCAGGATTCTGAGTGCTGGGACTACAGGCATGGGCTTCTGTGCCTGGATATTGGACATCAGTTTTTCAATATTTTCCCCTAGTCTCTGGCGTACTTGTTTTCTGTAATAGTATTTTTTAAAGAGCAAGAGATTTTAATTTTTTTTTTTTTTTTTTTTTTTTTGGTACGAGGGATAGAACTCAGGACCCTGCGCTTGCAAGGCAGGTGGCAGCACCGAGCTAAATCCCCGGCCCAAGAGATTTTAATTTTGATAAAGTCTAGGGTGAGCTTTTTCATGTGCATCTCTGTCTGTTCTACAGCTGGACAGACTGAGCCAGGTCCCGGGGGCCAGGACTTGAGCTGCCCTTGGTCCTGAGGCTTCCGGGCTGCTGGTGTCACTGGAGCTTGGCCGGGGTCCGGTCTTCTCCCTGGGGCAGTCAGATAAAGCAGAGGGGTGGTGGGCTGCCAGAGTTCAGGGCGCCCTCTGGAGCCCTCTCGTTGGGGCTTCTGCCGCCGAGGTCAGCTGTGCCATGGACTGCACTGTGTCCCTGCCGTCTGTCCAGCCACGGGGCCCCTGTGCCATCCAGGCCTGGCCACAGCGAGGACATGTCCTCTCAGGGTGTGGGTGGCATGGCGGGACCCTCATCCCGCCCTGCCCAGCAGGCCCCTGTTGCTGCTAGGCTGAGGCCCTCGTTTTCCACCCAGAGGGAGCTAGGCTGGGAGCTCAGCCGGCCCCACCCACAGCCCAAACCACTTCTGTTTTCCAGCCCCAGTGCTGAGTCGCGATTTCCAGCCCCTGCAGCTGCTGCATTCTGCTGTGTCATGCTTGGGGGGGGGGATTTGCTGAGTCACGGGCGGTGCCTGCCTGGCTGGGCCGGGAAGGAAGCCAGGCTTGTGGCCGGGACCCAGCCTCCAGTCACCTCGCTGTGTGTGCTGTGGCCTGTCCCTGTCCCCTTCGTCCCCGGCCTCACAGCTGTCCATTCCTTCTCCTTGGACCCTTTCCGGCAGCTCCACCTTCCGCACCCGTGGATGTGTGCAGCAGTCCCTGGGCCCCGGAGCCTCTGGGGCCTGGCTGCAGTGGAGTTGGTCGAGCGTGCCGGGCTCGATCCCCAGCGTGCACACACGTGCGCGTGCACACACACCCACACCCCCCACAACCGGACTTCGCACTTCACCTGCTGGGGTCCCTGAGCTTTCAGCTCCCACCTCAGGGGCGCAGCACGGGAGGCCGGAGGTGGGGCTGGGTTTCAGCTGCTTGGGCCGGAACCCTGGCTCTGCCGCTGCCAGTTGTGACCTCTCCGTGCTGATGTGGAGAAAGTGGAGAGGAGGTGACAGCTGCGCCCACCGCCCAGGGCCGCTGTCGGAGGCCCAGCTCGGCAGTGCCCAGGACAGCTGGCCAGGCCACAGCCCTCCCTGCAGCAACCTCGTCCACAGCAGGAGATGCACTAGCCGCCTGCCCCAAGGGGAGACTTCCGGCCTCCGGATTTAAACTCAAAGCCAGTAGGCCCGACCTGGTCACCCTGGGCAGAACGGCATTTCCGGGACGGGCCCGAGGAGGGCAGTGGCATGGAGAAGCGTCTGCCTCAGCCCTGCAGCCCAGAGAGGACAAGCAGTCGGTCACCTGGTCTCCAGGACGGCAGACCTTTCTCTGCACCTCTCTGCCCTAGTTTCCTCACCCATACGGGCGAGACAGTAACGGTTCAGCCTCATGGGCACTGAGTGCGCATCCAGTCAGTGCCCCGTGCTGAGCTCACAGACTCAGAGACCTCGGTGCAGTGCAGGCGGCCCCAGGGATGCCTGGGTGTCAGCGGGCCCTGGGCCCCAGACGGGGACCTTGCTCCAAGGCTGCCCTTAGTTGCCTTCCCTCAGATGCCGACTTGTGCCTCCACTTACAAGCAGCCTCCGTAGCTCTGCGAAAACCACCTTCAATACCAAGTGCCCGTGAGCACCGACGCTGGCACTGCGGGGCCCTGCGCATCCTCTGGGCCCAGATGAGTTAACCCAGTGTGGTGCCCACGCCACGCCCAGGCAGGGCACCCAGCGTCCCAGGCGGCAGCCAGGCGCTAAGAGCTTTGCGGGAGGCAGGCAGGGACTTCCTCCCCAGCCTCGGTTTCCCCTGTCAGTGCGTGTGACAGGACAGAGGCGGGCTCGCCAGGACTGGGAGGGTCTGTAGCGGGCGGCGGGCGTGCACTCACGGGGCGCAGCCCCTTCCCCAGGGGCTCTGGGGAGGCCCCTCGTCAGCCAGGGGCCGGGGGCGCCCCCTCCCGCCGCCGCTCAGATTTCCTGCCGGGCGCGTGCTCCGGGTCATATGACCCGCGCTCCCCCGCGCCGCCGGCTGGGGCGGGTCCGGTGTCGCAACGTCGGCAGGACGTGAGCCTCAGCGGGCGGGCGGCTGCCACGTGACCCTCCGGGCTTAAAGACCGGGGCGGACCGGAGCGACACCGACCCGCAGCTGCCACCCCAGCGCCTGAGCCGCCTCCCAGAGCCAGAGCCGGAGCCACCGCGATGGAGACGATGGAGCCGGGCAGGCAAGCAGGGCGGGAGCAAGGGAGGGAGGGGCGACCCTGGGCGTGCCCCCCCCCAGACCTCGGGACCGGCCTGGCGCCCCAGGCCCGGGGCTCCCAGCCCGCGTGGGCGCCGGGCTCTGTCTTGGGCAGCTCCTGACCTGCTGACCAAGGCGGATGCCCCCTGGGGTGGCTGTCGCGTCCGTCTCCGACCCGGCCCCACAGTGCCCAGGGCCGCTGGCGCCGGTGTCAGTGCCGTAGGTCCGAACTTGGATCCTTCACCTCCCCTGAGAATGCCATCCTGCCCGAGGGGCCGGGCGAGGGGCAGATGACAGTCCGCGCTGGGATGGGATCCGGACGCCGGACCGGAACGCTCCCAGAAGGGGACTCTTCTTCCTTGAGCACAGCCTCATTTGGGGGGCTTTTTAATGCAAACACTGTGACAACAAACAGAACGTTGAGGTCGTGAGATTTGTATCTCAAACACCAATGAAAGAAATGAGTTAAGCATTGGGTCTAAAAACCAAATCAAAGTTTAGTGTAGTGGTGCACACTTGTAATCCCAGCACTGTGGGAGGCCGAGGCAGGAGAACGGCAAGTTTGAATCCAGCCTGGGCAACGTAAGAGACCTTGTCTCAGACCGGGGATTTAGCTCAGTGGTTTCGACGCCTGCTGCGCAAGTGCAAGAACCTGAGTTTGATCGCCGGTACCAAAAATAAAAGAGACCTTGTCTCACAAGCAATGAAAAGAGTTGGGGATCTGTTCAGGGCAAAGCCTCTGGCTTTGGTGCCCAGGTGGAAAGTGACTTGCTCGACGCCTCTCCTTCACCGGGACGACTGGGGACCGGGCATCCCCGGGCTTGTCGGTGCTGTTTTTGCAGAGCTGAGGGTGGAACCCAGAGCCCGACCCCGGAGTCTCCCCACCCTGCCCAGGTTTGGGGACCCTGTAGTGTGGAGCACCTGGTGGGCACTGCACCCCACCAATGCCCTCACTGACCCCACCCTCCACAGGGCGCCCCAGGACCTGTCTGAGGCCATCAAGGAGACCACCAGGGATGTGCACACCCAGGCGGAGAACACTGAGTTCATGCGGAACTTTCAGAAGGGCCAAGTGACCAGAGAAGGCTTCAAGGTGGTACTGGGGACAGGGTGGGGCCAGGGACCCAGGGACTCACCAAGGGCGACAGGGAGGCCCAGGCCATCAGCCAGAGGCCTCTACTCTGCTGACGGGGTGCTCAGAGAGGTTAGTGGCCCCAGGAGGCCACACAGCCATTCGCAAGAGGCCAAGGTCAAGCAGCAGACAGTGCCACGTGTGGCTGCGCCCTGCCCTCGTCGGAGTGGCCAGCAGGGGTTCCCCCAAGGCAGGCATCGAGGCAGGGGCCATGCAGGTGGGGGCTGAGTCCTCCCCACCCCTGCCCGACCCTGCCCCCAGCCTTGGAGGTTCACAGCAGCCGGGGCCCAGCCGTGGGCAGGTACCCAGAGCCGGGGCAGCATGTGGCCTGGCCCCTCTGGCAGGAGCGCTGTGCTGGCCGCGGTTCTGAGCTGCACGGGACTGTCCCCTCGCCACGCCGGCCCGGGACAGAAGGGTTCATCTCCCCTTACACCAGGAGGGGCACCTTGGGCTTACCTGAAGGCTGACTGCCTAGACCAGAGAGGGCAGTGACTCACCTGCAGCCACACCGCAGAGGGTGGCCCTGGCGCTGTGTCAGCTTCCTGCTGTCTGCCCTCCAGGACTGTGTCTTCCCTGAGTGTCTGAGGCAGAGTAGCCTGGACCCAACCGCACTGGAGTGTGTGACTTTGTCCTGCGCACAGGGGGCAGGGTTAATGTGTCATGGGTGTCCCTGAGCTGGGCCCTGCAGCACGGTGGAGGCCACAGGCCGTGCCTTGCCTGGCTGGTTCCCCTCTCCCCTGCTGTGCAGCCTCAGGTTCCCTCCCTCTCAGGGACGGGCTGGCACCCTCCCGAGCTGCTCTGTGCGGGAACAGAGAGGCCTCCTCGGGCTTCTCTGAAGGGGACTGTGTTAGGCTGAGAGGTGCAGGACTGGGCTTCTCTCCGGGAACAGGTGCTGGGAGCTTGGGGCCGGGCTTGGAGGGCGGTGTCTGACCCATGGTGCCCTGCAGCTGGTGATGGCCTCGCTGTACCATGTGTACGTGGCGCTGGAGGAGGAGATTGAGCGCATCAGGGACAGCCAGGTCTTTGCGCCTGTCTACTTCCCCGAAGAGCTGCACCGGCGCCTGGCGCTGGAGCAGGACATGGCCTTCTGGTACGGGCCGCGCTGGCGCCACGCCATCCCCTGCTCACCGGCCACGAGTCGCTACGTGCAGCGGATCCATGAGGTGGGGCGGATGGAGCCTGAGCTGCTGGTGGCCCACACCTACACCCGCTACCTGGGTGACCTGTCGGGTGGCCAGGTGCTCAAGAGAATCGCGCAGAAGGCCCTGGGGCTGCCCGGCTCTGGCGAGGGCCTGGCCTTCTTCACCTTCCCCGGCATCCCCAACGCCACCAAGTTCAAGCAGCTGTACCGCGCCCGCATGAACTCACTGGAGATGACGCCCGAGGTGCGGCGCAGGGTGCTGCAGGAGGCCAAGGCCGCCTTCCTGCTGAACATCCAGGTGAGCCCCAGCGCTCCTAGGCTCCATCTGCACCACAGGAACAACAGCAGCTCGGCCTGGGGCCTGGGGCCTGGGGCCTGGGGGCTGGGGCGTGGGGCGGACACACACCCGTGCCGTTCTGGTGACCTCGGCCACGCCAGGCTGCCAGGAGCAGACCAGCCGTGCCTCCCCAGCTGGGGTGGGGGTCCCCGCGCCTCGCGCACAGCCTGCCCGGCGATGTCTCCCAAGGGTGCTGCGGACGCCTGCAGCAGGGCTGCACCATGGGGGCCCCAGCAGGGCCACGCGAGGTGTGGATGCAGTACAGGCTCCCACTGCTTCTGGCTTCCTGGGCGGGTGGGGCAAGGGTGGTACTGGGCAGAGCTGGCACCCCTTGCTGGGCCACCTCCCCTGGGCCTAGGCGGCCCTGGGTGCTGGGTGCTGGCTCGTGGCAGGGCTGTTCCCAGAACCCTTAGCCCCATTCAGCCCTGGGCCCAGGCCCTCACGTCTCAGACGCCTGTGCTCTTGTCTTCCAGCTTTTTGAGGAGCTGCAGGGGCTGCTGACCCCTGAGCTCCAGGACCAGAGTCCTCCCCAGACCCTGGGGCTCCACCACCGGGCCAGCAGCCAGGTGCAAGGTGAGGGCTTGGGGCCTGAGTTCAGGGTTCCCTCAGCCTTCGGAGTGCTTGAGAAGGGGGCCGCGCGTGGTGCTGCAGGCCTGTGATGCCAGCACTTGGGAGGCTGAGGGCTGCCGTGAGGATGAGGACAGCCTGAGTCACGCTGAATTCAGGGTCAGCCTCGACGACATGGCAAGGTCCCATCAACAAACCACAAAAAAGCCTAAGTGAGAAGCGGGGCAGCCTTCCGTGGGTGGCTCTGGGCGCCAAGGGGCATCTCCATGCCTGTTTCCTCTGGCCCTCGGGCCCAGGAGACTCTTGTGCGGAGGCCCAGTGCAGGCAGGGCTGTTAGAGACGCAGCCCTCGCCGTGGGCCCCGCGCCCACTGACCCCCCCTTCTGCTCTTGCAGACTCCAGCCCGGCCGAGGCGCCCCTGAGCAAGGCCCCGCTCCCCAGCCATGTGCCGGCACCACTGCTGCCCTGGGTACTGACCCTCCTCAGCTTCCTGGTGGCCACGGTGGCAGTGGGCCTCTATGCCTTGTGAGCGCCCATGGGCTGTGGACTCCTCCTGCCTGGGGCGCGGTGTCCTGTGGGCCCTGGCCTCCTCCACGTGTCCCTCCTCCAGCAGCAGGCTGTGGCCTCTCCCCGTGCGGCCTCTCCCTGCTGGAGCGTGTCCGGCCGGCCGCGGGAACTGGACCTTCCCGACTCAGCGCCCGGAGGCTGCGGCTGGCGGGCCCTGCCCTGAGTCTGCGTTTGCTGTGCCCGAGCCCCCGCGGGCACGGCCGATTTTGTGCCTGTCTTGTGTTTCCTCTGCCTTGCTGTCTTGCTCCTGTGAGAGCCGCCCCTCACTCCAGGCTCAGCCTGAGCCCGGAGCTGTTGTGTTCACTGTTTTTATCACAGGGCTGGGTCTCTGGGGGGACCCCGGGTGGGGTGGGGTTCCCTGCACTGTGGCACTTCTGTGTGGAACAATAAAGGGCTTCGTCTGACGGCAGCTGGTGTTTTCATGGGCTCTCGTCCTGGGCGCTCAGCCGCGTGGCTCCTTTGGATGCGGGGTGAGCGAGGGGCAGCTGCCCTGTGGATGTGAGCCCATCCTCGGAGGACAGGAAGTCACTGAGCAGCGATGGGGGCTTGGGGAGCCCCCGGGCTCTGGCTCTGCTGCTTCTCCTGAGGCTCAGCCCTGCCCAGGCGCCTGGAGCCGGGGGGAGCCCGCTCAGCACCGCGGCGGCCCTGACGTCCGTCCCTCGGCCAACTGCGGCCCCGGGCCAGGGGACGCGCGGCACTATCAGTCGACGCCGCAGGCTGGGGCTCCAGGGGACCTGGCCGGCCGCCGCCTGCGTCTGCGGAGGGCTCAGGCGTCCTCTCCCCCACGTCCTGCCGAGGGCCGCCCTGCGTCCGCACTGCGGCTGAAGGGCACTCTGCAGTCCCGGGTGGAACCAGGGCCCTCAAGCTGCACTCCGCCCGCAGCCCTCGTGACGGCTCCACCAGGTCGCTAAGCTGGGCTCCGACTTACAGCCCCCCTGCCTCAGCCTCTCGGTGCTGGGCCGTCAGGCCTGCAGCCCCGGCCCGCCCGTCGCTCTGGCTCCTGGCCTTCCCTCCCCGGGCTGAGGGTGGAGTTACTGCTCAGGACCCTGGGAGCCCCGGGCCGATCTGCCCTGCGCCATCTTTGCGCCTCTCCCGCCGTAGCTCCCAGCTCCGCTGCTTCCCTCCGGGCCTAAGTTTCGCGCCAAATTGTTCCGCACACAAAATGGAGCCCAGACAGGGCGTGGCCTGACGTCACGCACTATAGCCAATCCGCCTCTGCATTCGGCCCTGGAGGTGGGACGCGCGGGATGCAGAGCGGCCCAATCGCTGGCCGTGGTCTCCGGCGGGCCAATAGGAGCGCGCGGTGCGGACGCCAACCACGCCCCTGCTTTTCCCGCGAAAGTCGGCGCGGCGCGAAAGAGGTGCGGGTGCGAGTTGCCGTGCTCGGGTGCAACTGGCTGTGCGCGGTGCCGGGGTGCGTGAGCGTGAGGTGAGCGCAGGTGCGAGCGGCCGTGCGCGGGGCCCCGGGGCCAGGCCGCCCCGCCCCTCCGGCCCGCTCCCGGCCGTCTCCCGCAGCCCTCCCGTCCCCAGGCGCAGCATGTCGGGGTTCGACGACCTCGGCGTCTTCTACAGCGACAGCTTCGGTGCCGAGCCGGGCGGCGATGACGGGCGGGCGCGCAGGGCGCAGCTGCAGCGGCGCTTCCGGGAGTTCCTGCGGCAGTTCCGGGCGGGCGCCGGCTGCTCCTTCACCTACCGGTGTGCGGTGTTCGGGCGGGCGCGAGGGCCCGTGGCGGGTCGACGGCTTCTCCAGCCGCAGGGGTGTGGGGCGTGGGGCGTGGGGCCCGGCACCCACAGCGAGCCTGAGCAGGCTGCCAGCGCTTGCAGCTGCCGCGCGGTTCCGGCGGCTCTGTGGGGCGCGGAGCACCTGGCCCTGCCTGGCCCTCGAGCCCCGCGTTCGGGCCCTCCGCCCTGTCCCGCTGACCTTCCGTGCGTGGCGGCGACTGCAGACGGGCGGTCTGGTGTGAGCTGTGAGTGGCGGCCGTGACCCGTCTTGTTCGCTCACCCGCCCGTTCCCAGTCTGCCCTCTGCGCTCCGGTCTGGGCGTCTGCGCCCGCGCCAGGCCCTGTCCGGTGCCAGGCTGCCCTAGTCTGCTGCTGCACGACCGGCGTCACGTGATGTCCTCACGGGTCTGAGCAGTGACAGCTGAGGGACAGCTGCTGTCTTTCTGGGCCCCAGTTTCCTCACTTTCCTGACAAGGAGCCGTCCCTACCTCTGTTTGTTCATACAGTAGCTGGCCTTGAGGAACGCCAAGCACTGAGGAACGGTGTGAAAGTCACATCTGTTCTCAGAAAGCTCCTGAGCCGGGAAGCCAGGCCTGGAGGCTGGGGAGGCCACATGCTGGCGGCCTCGGGAGGAGCGTGGGCTCACGGATTGGCGCCTAGGGGTTCCCTGGAGAGGAGAGGTGGCGGCCACCGTGCTGTCACAGGGGGGGCTTCAGGGCACACTGCCTGTTAGGACGACTGGACCAGGGTGGGAGGGAGGGAAGGGGCTTGGGCCCAGGACACGTGCAGGTTCTGGGACAGCAGCGCATGAGCTGCTCTCAGTGAAGGCTGCGTCTGGCTGATGGGACAGACATGGTCTGTGGTGCCTTGAGACTCTGGTTGGAGGCCTGAGCCTTTGGTTCCCCAGAGGAAGTTAAAAGAGGGGGTGTCCGGGGCCGGGGATTTAGCTCAGTGGTTTTGCGATCCTTGGTACCAAAAAAAAAAAAAAAAAGAGGGGGTGTCCGGAAAACACTGGCTGCTGTCCTGGGGTTCAAGTCCCTCTGCTACCTGTGCCGCCCTGCTGTCCAAGCAGCTATCTCTGGAGGACCCCTTGGGCAGCCAGGCACCTCTGCAGGGCTGACCTGGGACTCGACGGGGTTGGGGTGTGGTGGCTGGGAGAGGGCACTGCAGCCATTGTGGGTTTCCTCTCTGCCCCTTCCTTGCCTTGCAGGGATGAACTCAAGCGCCATTACAACCTGGGGGAATACTGGATCGAGGTGGAGATGGAGGACTTGGCCAGCTTCGATGAGGACCTGGCTGATTCCTTGTACAAGCAGCCAGCAGAGCACCTGGAACTGGTGAGTTGGGCCCAGCCCAAGCCCCCTAGGATGCGCCCTGCCTGTCGCCAATGGCTTGTGCCCTCCTGTGCAGCTGGAAGAAGCAGCCAACGAGGTGGCTGACGAGGTGACCCGGCCCCGGCCTGCGGGGGAGGAGTTGCTCCAGGACATTCAAGTCATGCTCAAGTCAGATGCCAGCCCCTCCAGCATCCGGAGCCTGAAGGTGGGTGCGCTGGGAGACTGCTGCCTTGAGCAGAGGGCCTTGAGACAGGCAGCCCAGCACCAGCAGGGTGGCTCTGACAAGGCAGTCAACCTTTCTGAGCCTGCCTTGTGCCCGAGTGAATTGACTCACTTGGACAGGTGTTCACTGAGCTCACCCCTGGGCGCGGCCTTGAGTTGTTCCTGGAGGAACAACAGGAACTGCATGGTGAACTTCTCTTCTTGGAGTTTGTGTGCAGCAGGGGAGGCTGAGAAACCGGTGCTGCACCCTGCTGAGATCTGAGGTGGCTGATGGGGCAGTGAAAGCAGTCAGGAGAGCAACAGGAAAATGGGGTCTCTAGGAACAACAGAGAGGGCTTCTGAGGAGGCAGCCTGGGGTGGAGAAGGCGGGGGTACAGACAGCGGGGAGAGTGTTTTGGATAAGGGAAGGGCCTTGGCTGGTGCAGACCCTGCAGGCATGGTTCTGTCAAGGCTGTTCGGAGACCAGCACAGAGGCTGAAGGTGAGGCAGGGGCAGGAGAGCAGGCGGGGTGAGCTCATTCACAGGTGGGTGGCAGCCGTGTGCCTGGTACCGACCTTAAGAGGTGGAGCGTGTCCTGGGCTCCCTTCACCACAAGCCGCCCCTGGCTCTTGCAGTCGGACCTGATGTCGCACCTGGTGAAGATCCCTGGCATCATCATCGCAGCCTCTGCGGTCCGGGCCAAGGCCACACGCATCTCCATTCAGTGTCGTAGCTGCCGCAACACCCTTACCAACATCTCCATGCGGCCCGGCCTGGAGGGCTACGCCCTGCCCAGGAAGTGCAACGCGTGAGTGGGTGGCGAGCACACCCCAAGGCTGCTTGGAGGGCCCTCACTGGGCATTGGGTGGGGCGGGCCTGATGGGTGCCGTGTCCCTGCCAGTGCGCCCAGGGCTGACCTCTGAGGGGCACAGCATTGGGAAGCAGCATGGTGCTGACCATGTCCTGTGTGGCCCTGCAGCCCGAGAGCACAGCCAGACTCCGTGCTGCACAGAGGCTGAGCCTGTGGGCCCTCAGCTTGCAGAACCTAGAACATTCAGTGCCTGGCCCCTTACAGGGCCCTCGGCCTCTCTCTCTGCCCTGCTGCCCGCCTGCAGTGTGTATACCTTGTCCCGTGTCCCCATCGGTCTGCTCTTCGCTCACCTGCCAGCCAGGTGGCTCTTGATGCTGCAGATGTGTGGCCCTTCATGCTCCACTCTGGCCACGTCTGCCTCCCTCCCTTCGGCCCACGGCAAGGCTGCCTCCTCACCCTGCCCCCACCGCCTGTCCACCTGTCCTTTAGTCTCCTCCATCCCATGGGGATACCCGCCAGTCTCTCTCTTGTTTCTTTCTTTTCTTTTTCTGGGTAACACATCCTTGTCATTTATTATAATTACGAGGGTGATCAAAATATATGGTGAATGTTTAAAATTTTATTAAATTAGGAGACAGTTTGCTGCGAATACCTTTCAGAGTACTGTATCATTTGTGCCACTTTGTGAAGCAGTTCTGGAAGTCCTCTTGTGAATGAATGTCTTTATGAGGTATGATTAAAAAATACAGCAAAGTTTAGCCGCCTGCTGCGTAAGCGTAAGGACCTGAGTTCGATCCCCGGTACCAAAAAAAAAAAAAGTACAGTGAAAGGGCTGGGAATTTACCTCAATGATGCGGTTGCCTGCCTTGCAAGTGCAAGGTCCTGAGTTTGATCCCTTGTACTGAAAAAAACAGTGAATGCTGCTGCCCAGCACTATCCAGCAGGCTCATGAGAATATGATACCATGTTGTCATCCACCATACTGACCAGATCTGGCACTAACTTCTGGCTCCTCCCCAATGACCACGAAAGGTGAATGTTGTGAATTGATTCAGGATATTGAGGCAGCCACAACAGTTGCAACTAAAGACACAAGAGAGGACTTCAGAGCTGCTGCAGAAAGTGCCAAGGACCATAGGATCAGTGTGTTCAAACAGGGGGAGCATTTTCAGGGGAACTAATGAGAATGTGTTACTGCAATATAATTTTTTGTTTGAGACAGGGTCTCTATGGAGTCCAGGCTGGCCTTGAACTCAACTATGTAGCGGAGGCTGGGCTCAGACTCAGTGATCCTCCTGCCTCAGCCTCCCACATGCTGGGATTATGGGCTTGTGGCACCAGGCCTGGCTCTGTAATATGTTTAAGAAAGACCTTAAACGTTCACTGTGCATTTTGACCATAGGCCCTATTTTTTCATTCTCTCCTGACCAGAAGCTCGTTCCATAGAACAGGGCCTCTGTGTTTTCCTGGTGTACCTGCTCCCACAGCGGCACCTGGCTTTGCTGCAGAATTGGGTGTGCTGCTGTGCCGTTGTGGATAGGCTTTATTACACAGGGTGTGTCCAGCAGGCCTAGCCTCTCCCTGCCGTGTGAGTGGGTAGTGAGGGCTTTCCCTGGGGGACGCTGAGCCCTGGTCCCGGGGCCTGGCCTGTGCCTTGCCTGGCCCCTCATGGAGGAGCCCCGCCTGCTTGATGCACTGTGCACCTGTCCCCAGCCTGTCCAGGACCTCAGTCGCCAACCCTGGGACAGATGGGCCCCACCCTTTGGTTCTCAGGCGGCTATGGAGACCTCCTTGCCCCGCAGGGACCAGGCTGGCCGCCCCCGGTGCCCACTGGACCCGTACTTCATCATGCCCGACAAGTGTAAGTGTGTGGACTTCCAGACCCTGAAGCTGCAGGAGCTGCCGGACGCTGTGCCACACGGTGAGATGCCTCGGCACATGCAGCTCTACTGCGACAGGTGAGGCCATGCACTCCCCGCCCTGGCCTCGGGAGGCCCAGTGAGCCCGTTAGTACAGGGCTGGGCTGTGTTCCTCTTCGGCTCATCAGTACCAGGCCACCAGCCGCTGCCCAGCAGGAGAAGAGGGTGCCAGGCACTGGGCCTGGGCCCTACCTGGGTGTTCTCAGCTAGGGTTGCCGGTGCCTGCTGGTTTTGTTTTTTTGAGATAATGTCTCCCTGTGTGGTTCAGGCAGGCCTTGAACGCACTTTGTAGCCAGATTGGCATGGAACTCGTGATCCCCCTGCCTCAGCCTCCTGAGTGCTGGGACTAGAGTCGTGCGCCAGCACCCTGGGCCCCAGTGTATTCTGCGGGAGCACTTTTCTGGGGAGTAGCCTGCAGCTTTCCTGAGTTCCTCTGGGGAGGTGAAGCCTGCAGGGCTCTTTCCTAGTCAGGCAGGGGAATGCGGACGGTCTGCATCCTCCCGTGGGGAGCCCTGAAAAGGCAGAAACGGGTGAGGGCAGGCTGGTGGGTGGCAGCAACGGCGTCCCGCGGAGACGATGCTGTCACCCACTGGTTCCGCAGCAGTCGGGGCAGTCAAAGCGGCTTCATCACCTCCCAAGCTCAGGTGCAGCGGCCTCCCGGGCTGAGGTCACAGCCAGTGCCCTCGGTGCAGCGTGGGCCTGGGGGCCTTGGAGCCTGCTGTGTCCCCGTGCTTGTCCAAGAGGAGCTGAAAGGCTTCCCCCGAGCCGGCTTCGGGCCTTGGGCATGGGCAGCCCCAGTGGGGCGGTGCGGGCGGGGCCTCTGGAGGGCTGGGCTGCACGCTCCCCTCAGCAGGCTGCGCCCTGACCGCTGTGGGGCTCTGCGGCCACTGTGATGAGGCAGGGCTGGCGCCAACTTGGGGCAAGAGCGGCCTGGCCTGGCCATGTGCTCACTGCCGCTCCTCTCCTCACCCTTGATGCAGGTACCTGTGTGACAGGGTTGTCCCTGGGAACAGGGTCACCATCATGGGCATCTACTCCATCAAGAAGTTGGGCCTGAACTCCAGCAGAGGCCGTGACAGGGTGGGCGTGGGCATCCGGAGCGCCTACATCCGAGTCCTGGGCATCCAGGTGGACACGGACGGCTCTGGTGAGTGGGGGCAGGGCCCGGGAAGCGGGCAGCGCACCACCTCACGGGTGGCCCGGCACCCTCTTGTGTCCTGAGCTTGTGCCTATGGCTTCTAGCTGTGACCCTGCACTGAGGGCATTGGCTTGAACTCAGGCTCGGGGTCGGAGGACTCTGTGCAGAGGTGGACCCTGCTGCCTGGGTCCAGGCTGGGCTGTGGGCCGAGCGGAGCTCCTGACTCACACAGCTCCCTCCTGTCCAGGCCGCAGCTTTGCCGGGTCTGCGAGTCCACAGGAGGAGGAGGAGTTCCGGCGTCTGGCCGCCCTCCCCAATGTCTACGAGGTCATCTCCAAGAGCATTGCCCCCTCCATCTTTGGGGGCATGGACATGAAGAAGGCTATTGCCTGTCTGCTCTTCGGGGGCTCGCGGAAGAGGTGAGGCCAGGGCACAGGTGACCTGGCGCACAGGACAGCAATCAGGGTGGGCAGCACCACCAGTGTCCAGGCCCTCAGCCTGCTGCCACTCCCCAGCTGCTGTCCGCAGTCCTCGGTCCCCCGGGTCGGGGTCCCCACCTCAGAGAAGATGCAGAGGCAGCAAGAGCGTGGCCTGGTGGTGCCGTTTGCTCACCGGGCCGCTGTGGAGGAGAGAGGCCTTCTTTCGGAGCCTGGTTCCCAGGGAGTGGAGCGGGTAGAAGACACCTGGTGTCCTTCAGAGGCCCTGAAGTAACAGGAGTGTAGACAGTAAACAGTGGCGACCTTGCTCTCACCGGGCCTGTGGCCTGTCATCCCAGTGCCATCTGCCTTCCCCTCCCTGCCCTGGGATGCAAGTGCTGCCCTCGTTCACTCTCCGTCGTTGGCCAGGGAGCCAGAGCCAGTACAAGCGTGGCTCCCAGCCCAAGCCCTGTCTCCTGCCTGCTGTGGCTCATGAGAGGTTGGGATTGGCTGCCAGTGCCATTCTGGTGACCACTGCGCCTCAGCCTCCTGTGGTTCTCACCCTGCCCACCTGCCAGGCTCCCTGATGGGCTCACTCGCCGAGGGGACATCAACCTGCTGATGCTGGGGGACCCAGGGACGGCCAAGTCCCAGCTCCTGAAGTTTGTGGAGAAGTGCTCTCCCATTGGGGTGAGTGGCCAGGTCACCAGGACACCTTCCTCACCCCGTGACTGTGGTCCGGGGTGGAACTCACAGGCAGTACGGGTTTGGGGTCAGGAGCAGTAGGCTGGGAGTCATTCTAGGGTTTGGATCTCTTCTGCCGAGTCCCTGGCCGTGCATTTGAGGGCCCCGGTCTTGCTGAGTGGCAGTTTGCTGAATGATGGCAGTGGTGACGCATATTCACCTGCTGTGGGCACTGCAACCTGGTCATTCACAGGCACCTGAGCAGTGAGATGGGAGTGCAGTGCGAGGACCAGGTCCTCGGGGCGTTGGCCAGGGGCCTGGGCACTCTTCATGGGGCGAGGACACCAGCACTGGCTGTGGCCAGGGGATCGCACTGCAGAGGGGTGGGGCTGGGCGTTTGGATGGAGGCTTCCGTAGCCACATCTAGGGCCAAGGGAGGATTCCAAGTTTGGGCCCAGCCCATCAATAACGGGCTGAAGTTTATAGCTCATTGCAGAGGCCCTGGGTTTAATCCCCAGTGCCACAAAAGTAAGATAAAAATGGAATAAGAGACGGGAAGTTCATTTTCATCACCTGTCTTGCTGAGCGTGGCTTCACATTACTGCCACTGGTGTGCAATGCCGGGGATTGAGCCCAGCGTCGCTTGCCTGCCCTGCCCTGCCCTGTCCTGCTGCTGAGCTGCACCCCAGCGTGAAAGATCATGAGCTCCTGTGCCTGTGTGGTAGCTCCACGTCTTTATGGTTGCGTGGCTCACCCACAGGCATCTCAGGTGTGTGGTTTTGAGGGCTCAGGGCAGCACGTGTGTCGCAGGTCTGTGTGCACAATAAGACAGGACCTGTGTGGGGCGGCCTTCCAGGCCCTCCCGGCCCTGGGCAGTTTGTAGGAGCATCACCTGCTCTGGGCCTCTGCTCCCCACACAGGGCTGTGTTCGCAGGACATTTAGGCCACGTTGGGACCCTTCTCTCGGCTCTGTGTGCTGGTTCTGCCCTTGGCCTTGCTGTGAACCTGGAGCTGGATCTGTGCGGCCCTGACTCTGCCCTCCCCACAGGTGTACACGTCGGGGAAGGGCAGCAGTGCGGCTGGCCTCACAGCCTCCGTGATGAGGGACCCCTCCTCCCGGAACTTCATCATGGAGGGAGGGGCCATGGTCTTGGCTGACGGTGGGGTTGTCTGCATTGATGAGTTTGACAAGGTGAGTGGTGGGCGGGTAGTGGCCAGATGCTGGCACCTTGGTCTTGCGGGACTGGGCTCTGTGGCCTCCAGGGCATGCCTGACATGTCACCTCCAAACTGTGACTGGCGAGTGGCATAGCCTCTCAGCCTCGGTTTCTGCGCCTGGAGACTAAGGAGAGGTTGGCCAATCCCACAAGGTTGTCACCATGGTGGGAGATGACCCCTTTCTTGCCCTGGCCCAGCAGAGTCTGCCGGAGTGGTGGCTGTTGCTGATTTTCCTGCCACCACTGCCCCTGCCTGGGCGAGTCTGACAGTCGTTTGTCTGCTCCCGGCAGATGCGAGAAGATGACCGTGTGGCCATCCACGAGGCCATGGAGCAGCAGACCATTTCCATTGCCAAGGTGAGCTCCTTCCTGACCTGCCCGGGCCCAGCCTGTGCTCCCTCCTTGGCCGCTTCGGGGTGCACTCCATCGTGCCTACCCAGCCACGTGATGGTGGCAGTGGCAGGCCTACGTGTGTGTGTAAGAAGGGCCCACCTCGGGGTTCTTGGTGACCTCTGTCCCTTGCAGGCTGGCATCACCACCACCCTGAACTCGCGCTGCTCCGTGCTGGCTGCTGCCAACTCAGTGTTTGGCCGCTGGGATGAGACGAAGGGGGAGGACAACATCGACTTCATGCCCACCATCCTGTCCCGCTTCGACATGATCTTCATCGTCAAGGACGAGCACAATGAGGAGAGGGACGTGGTGCGTCCCCGGGGCTGAGTGGGCCGATAGTAGGGCCGGAGGAAGTGGCTGTGGTGGCTGTCAGCAGAGTGTCAGAGGGGCCTGCAGGGCTCTGGGGACCCGGGCAACCCAGTGTGCCCTCTGCCTCCCAGATGCTGGCCAAGCACGTCATCACACTGCACGTGAGCGCACTGACGCAGGCGCAGGCCGTGGAGGGCGAGATGGACCTGGCCAAGCTGAAGAAGTTCATTGCCTACTGCCGTGCGTGAGTGCTGCCCGCGGCCCTGCCCACCTGCCCCACTGGCACCGGCCTGCGTTCTGAGCCGCACCACCCGCCTCTTTCCCCGTCTCTGTGCAGCCTAGGATTTCGGGCGGTCTCACAGACCCCTGGAGTTGGCTCTGCCTTGTGACTTCGGACAGGTCACTCAGCCTTGCTGAGTCTGTCTCCCCAGGTTGAGCGCCGTAGGGCTTTGTAATGCTTGTGCGTGATAATGAGCAAGCGCCTGAGGGCTCCCTCCCTGTCCCAGGTTCCAATTGCTGCTCGCTTGGGTTCCAGTCACAGTCCTTGTATGCGTAGTATTTTTGTTGTGCAAGGCATGACACTGAGTGTGTTGTATATAATGAGCTTTAACTCCTCTGAACCTCAGAGGTTAGGTGGCTAGGTGTACTCTTGTCCGTTTTACCGTTGGGGAAACTGAGGCAAGGAAGGTAAGTAACCTGTGGAAGGTAGTGGAGACAGGCTGTGAATGAACCTGGGTGCCCCGTGCTGCTCACCCCAAGAGCAGAGACCCAGGCCACTCCCTGGGAGCAGGCAGGTGCTGAGCCCCCAGAGACCTTGGGGTGCTGAGTCTGGGCTTCCCTCTGGCAAGGCCCTGGTGGCCTCATTCTTAGGTTGCTTTCTCATCTCCAGCTTCCCTAATGTGGTCATCAGTTCCCAGCCCGGCCGGTGGGGTGGTAGGGGGAGTGGGCGGAAGGAAGAGGCGCTGCTCCTCAGACCCGCCTCAAGGCTGCCTGTGTGGGCCTCCGCTGTGGGCTCCGTGCCGCATGACAAGGCAGAGGAGGGCCTCACGCTGCAGCACCTGGCGCCACCCACTTCCCATCAGTGGCCCGGCCATCCTCGCTTGGGGTCTCTGGCACCTGCTCAGAGCCAGCCTGGGTTTGGTGCAGTCTCCAAAGGGGCGCTCAGAGCGGGAGGTCTGGGCATGGTGGCGCCCCGCCCCGCGCCCTGGCCCACACTGGGGTCCCGTCCTGCAGGAAGTGTGGCCCCCGGCTGTCTGCGGAGGCCGCAGAGAAGCTGAAGAACCGCTACGTCGTCATGCGGAGCGGTGCCCGGCAGCACGAGAGGGACAGTGACCGGCGCTGCAGCATCCCTATCACCGTGCGGTGCGCGGAGGGCCTCCCGGGGTCAGGCTGGGCTGGGCTGGGGCCGGGCCCACTCCGCCTGCTGGGTTCCTGCCTGGGATCTGCTTTCTGCCTCTGGCTGTCCGTGCGGGTGTCGGGCTACAGTGATGAGGCGCTGGTCAGTCCCGGGTTTGGCTCTGGAGTGGCAGACTCCCGGGTAGCCTTCACAGACGTGGAGTTTATGCCCAGTGCGGACGTGTGACGCTGGCCGGCCGGCCGGCATCCTCCTTGGAAGGCACTGGCAGCTGGGCACCAGCAGAGCCACCCTAGCCTTGGCCCAGCCAACTACTGGGGCTTCAACTGTTGCCTCTACATTCAGGGCAGTGAGGCAAGAAGGAAAACAGGGCTTAGCACTTCAGGACATTCCCTGATGTCACACACAGTGGCTGGACTTGAAACCTGCTGGCCACAGCCCAGGCTCGGGCCAGGAGGTGTGCTTTAGCAGGCAGTCTCCCGCCCTGGGTGTGCTGGGCCGTCCTGAGCACCCATGGTCCCGCAGGCAGCTGGAGGCCATCGTGCGCATCGCAGAGGCCCTCAGCAAGATGAAGCTGCAGCCCTTTGCCACGGAGGCGGACGTGGAGGAGGCCCTGAGGCTCTTCCAGGTGTCCACGTTGGACGCCGCCTTGTCGGGCACCCTGTCTGGTGAGTGGGTGCTGGTCAGGCCTGGTGCCGATGTGCGGGTGGCCGTGGAGTGGCCTCCCCGTACCTGCCCTAAACCTCAGTGCTCCTCAGGGTGGGAGGAAGTGGCTTCTTTCAGGAGTTAAGTGACTTCTGGTCCCTTGCACCCTGGAGGAGAGGGCCAGCGTCCAGAGGCCCTCATGTGGGGTCTCACTTTACCCGCAGCCCGCTCCTGGTTTGGAGAGGTTGGCCTTCCTTAGGCAAGCACTGGTGGGCAGCCCTGGGGCTGCTCCGTCCCTCCCCTGGCACAGGGATGGGGTAATCCCCGGGGCTGCGTGGTGCTGGGGCAAAAGCTGGCCAGTGGCATATTCCAGCTGAGGCCAGGAGAAGGGAGAGGGGAGATGACACAGGCAGCAGGCCAGGTGGGCCCTATGCTCTGCCCATCTGCAGGGGAGCAGCCTGGTCAGCAGGGCAGCTGCCCACAGCCAGAGCTGGCGGGCACCCTGAGCCCACCCATGTGCTGAGTGCTCCTGGGCCCCGCCCTCCCTCCCGGTCACTCGTGGTTCCGAGCTCCTGTCCAGTCTGCCCCAGGAAGTTGTTCCTGCGGTCACCTGGCTGGCTGGGCTCCACGTGCCAGAGCTGCCTGACCTTGTTGGTGACTGTCACCCCAAGACGACATGTACCCTCTGTCAGCGAGCACAGCCTTGTTAGGGTCACCCAGTCAGCCCTCAGACCTGGCCTGCCCTCCCCCTGCCCCTGCTCTGCCCCTGGGCTTTCGAGCCAGCTCTGTCCCTGCCTCTACCAGAGCATCCTCGCCCTTGCTGTCCCCGGCCTCGTGTTCCTTCTCTAACCCTGGGCTCCTGGCCTCCCCAGGGGTGGAGGGCTTCACCAGCCAGGAGGACCAGGAGATGCTGAGCCGCATCGAGAAGCAGCTCAAGCGCCGCTTTGCCATCGGCTCCCAGGTGTCTGAGCACAGCATTGTGCAGGACTTCACCAAGCAGGTGGGCCCTCCCCCGGGCAGGGCCTGGGTGGGGCACGGGTGTCCTTCAGCTCAGCAGTCACCCCTCTTGGGGCAGGCTTCATCCTTCCCTAGATACACTTCCTGCAGGGCCAGGAGGCTGGCTGGTTATTACTGTGGTGGTACTGGGGATTGGACCTGGACCTGTGCACTGAGCTGCAGCCCCTCGAGCCTGGTCTGTGGGTGAACTGCAGAGCTTAGGTTTAGGAATGACCAGAGTCCAGGGATAGGGTCATGGCTTTCATCCCAGCTCTGCTGCTGCTTGCTGTGTGACCTCAAGCAGGCAGTTAGGCTCTGTGGCTCAGTTTCTTCCTCTGTAAAATGGAGACAATCCTGTACTGTACTGGGTGTGGCGGGGAGAGCTGAGGCAGGTGAAGGCCTGTGGCAGAGCCTGGTGACAGTGGGCACTCAGGACGCTCGCTCCCTTCCTGTGGCCAGGGAGGCCAGTGCAGAAGCCTGGAGTCTGCTGGGTATGGCCACCCCTGCATCTGTCCTGTGCTCTGTGCCCACAGAAGTACCCGGAGCATGCCATCTACAAGGTGCTGCAGCTCATGCTGCGCCGAGGTGAGGTCCAGCACCGCATGCAGCGCAAGGTCCTTTACCGCCTCAAGTAAGGACGTCGTGCCACCTCGTGGGGGCCTCTCCCCACCCTGCCTTCCAGCACCACCTGCTTCCTGCCCTGTGCTGCTCTCCGCCTCTGGACCACTGCCCCACACTAGCTGGGCATGTGCTTGGAGGACTGATAATAAAGATGCTGTGTAGGGTCCCTGAGGGCTACTGTACCTCGTGACCTGTCCCCGCCTGTCCTTGGTGGCTGGGTGGATGTGGGCGGGAGCAGGCGTGGGAGCCCACAGACTGGCTGAGCTGGGCCCATGCAGCCTCCCCTCAGGTCCTTGACATCGTGCCACAGGTTCTTCTGTGTCCAGTGGGCAGGGCGAGGCCAGGTGTTCCCAGCCGAGTGCAGGAGAGCTCCAGTATGTTGACCGAGCCTGCACCCGGCCTGTGTGCTAGAGCGAGAGCCAGTAACCGCCACCGACTCCCCATGCTTTTCTGCACCTCGGTGTCCTGGTCTGCAGGCAGCTGACACAGTCCCTGTCTCTGGAGTGGAGCTGAGGGTCCTCAAGAGCTCAGCCAGGGCCCGCAGGGTAGCCAGGCGTGTGGCAGGATGCAGTGGCATTTGCTGTCCAGGGATGTGGATTCTGGCAGGCCTTAGAGCAGGGGGTGGGGACTCTTGTGACCTCCTCCCAGGCAGGCCACCCCCAAGCTGTGTGGCCATGGGACGGGGCACTTGGAGCTGACAGGAACTTCCCCAAGTCCAGGAGGGCCAGGGTCAGAGGAAGCCCACAGCATTTCATTTTGGCTGTTAACTTTTTTTTTTTTTTGGTGGTACTGGGGATCGAACTCAGGACCTTCCGCTTGCCAGGCAGGCACAGCGCCCCTGAGCTACATCCCCAGCCCTTGGTGGTTAACTTTTTTACAACATGGAAATACATAGTATGTAAACTATGAGTTTATATTTTGTTTTTTGAAATCTAGAATTCATGAAATTAAGGAAAATAAAATATCTGATCTTTGGAAATGCAGTCTCAAAATCTGAACTTAGAAACATTAAAACACTTTGTAATGTGCTTTCAGCAGGCAGTCTTTAAAAAAAGGAAGACCCAGGCTGCATGTGGTGGCATACTGTGTCATCCTGGCACTTGGATGCTGAGGCAGGAGGATTGCCATGTGTTTGAGGCCAGCCTGAGCTACATAGTGAGACCCTGTCTCAAAGATCCATGGGAAGAATGGGAGGAGGGACTGCATCTAAGCACACGGCGGCGCAGTCCGTGTTCGTCACAAGTTGGTCCTGTGCCGAGATTACAGCTGCTCAGCTTCCTGCCTCTGCTTAGGGGAGACGACGGCCTGCCCGCTGAGCAGCGGAGTCCTCTGACTCTTGCGCCTTTGTTGTGCCCTTGGGCTCGGAAGGGGTGTGTTCTTGTCTGGGTGAGAGCCTGTGTCTGCGTCCAAGGTGCCATCCCTGGGGCACTGCTGAGGGCCCTGTGAGACCCCCTGGCTCTGCTGGGTGAGTGAGGCTTGGGAGGGAGGGCTGGGCCGAGGGCAGGACCCTAGCCTGGCAGGCCAGCTGCCCTTGGGGTGCAGCAGGTCCTCCTGCGGGCTGTGAGGGGTCCTGGGCCCAGCCCCAGCCCCAGCCAGCCCGAGCTGGCCTCGAAGGGAACAACCGAGAGGGTCAGCTTTCCTGTGGTGCCTCACCCTTGTCCGCCTCTGCTGTGCCCCTCGCTTCCCCCTCACTCACCAGGGCCGCTGCTGGTGTGTCGTCTGCCTGGCCTGGCTCCCCCGCAGCCCAGCAGACCAGAGGGTTAGCAGCCCGGGTGGTCCCTGCACGGTGCCTGGGGGCGAGGCAGCAGGCTCAGACGCGCTCCCCTGCCCTCCCCTGCCCTCCCCTGCCCAGCCCCTGTGCTCTGTTCCTTTTCCTCCCTGGGAAAGGGGGTGTCCAGAGGGCCTCAGCAGCCCCGACTTGGCTGAGTGGCAGGGTGGGCGGGATGGTGAGTCGGGCGGGGGTGTTGCAGACAGCACACGGCCCTGACTCAGGCCCCGCAGCTTGCAGGAGCCCCCACTGCCCTCGTGCCTTGGGCCCTGCATGGGCCACGGGAAGGAAAGCCAGGCCGAGCTTGCGGGGAGGGAGCTGGCTCCTGGGAGGGCGGGCCGGTGCCCTGGACTCAGGTCAGTGTCCCTGTGCGTCCCTCTCTAGTGAGGGATCGGCCCGCACCAGTGAGCCCTCCTGGGCCCCTCGGCCTGGTCCTTCGCCCGCGGTTGTTGGAAAAGGGCTCTGGGTGTGTGGAGGACAGTGCCCATGAGGGGGCGCCAGAGCACCAGACACCCGGCCACAGCCTTCCCACATCCTCAAGTGCCTTGGGTTCGCTGCTGGCCCTGACAGGCCGCAGAGGGCGCCCAACACAGACAGTTGTCGCTGTTGGGGGAAGGAGCCTCCCCGCCCCGACTTCAGATGGGGAAGCCAAGGCGCAGCCCCGGTTGTACCCCAGCAGCAAGTGCAGCTGAGAGCCAAAGCCAGGGGCCTCTGGACCCGAGTGTTAGAACAAAGGCTTAGAAGTCTGGACTGGGAGCTCTTAGCCAAGTGAGATGCGCACGTGTGATCTGTGCGCGCAGGTTTGTGGGCATTGCGTCGTGTGGGTGGGTGTGCGGGTGCCTTGTTTGGCTTGGTGGTACAGGTGTGAAGACAGCAGTGACGGCTGGCCCTCAACTCCCGCAGCCCCGGCCTCCGTTTCCCTCACCGATGGGGCTGAGTGAGTGACAGTTTGCTGGGTCTTCTGGTGATGCAGGAATCCTGGGGTTAGGTGCGGTCCCCCTGCCTGGCCCCTGGCCTTGCTGTGACAGTCAGGGTGACTGAGATTGTTCCCCACTCCCATTTGTACCCCCAGAGCCCCCCAAGAAGGGGCTGGTGGCACTTGGGGGTCTCCTTGAGCTCACTCCCCACTGTCGCCTTCAGAGCAGCCCAGCTGCGCTGGGGGCCACGTCTGTCTGTCCCAGAGGTGCCAGGTCCCCAGGAGGTGCGGGCACTGTGTCCAGGCTTCCTGCCCCCGAGGGAGGCAGAGGCCTCACTGGAAGGCCTGGGTATGGTGGCCTCGCCGGACAGCGCCTGGTGCAGCTGCCTCTGGTCGCCGAGGCCTGGGTGCTGGCTGCCCCCGTCACGGGCCTCGTTGGGCGGGCTGCAGCTCCCTCCTGCGTGTCCTGTCCTCATCAGTGGAGTTTCAGGTCTGCCCAGCATGGAGCAGGCCCCACACGCTTATCTGGCACCGTTGGCTAAAACCTACCGTCCCCTCTCCTGGGCCACCGAGGGTCCCTGCCTCCAGAGAAGCGGGGGGATGGCTGCAGCCCACGGAGTGGGTGGTCAGCTTCAGGAATGCAGGCCAATCCCCTGGCTCCTTGCCTTGTGATGGGTGGGGGGAGCAGAGCCTCCCCGTGTTTTACACCCTTGTCACTCAGCTCAGTGTCACGGGTCCTGACTGGTGCAGAGCGGGGAAGAGGGTTATGAGAGCACCTTTGTCTCCCGGTCTCTGGCAGTAGTCAGGAGAGGGGCAGGTATCACTCTGGTGCTCTGCTCGCCCTCTCCCACTTCCTGCCTGCCTGGGTCTGTCTCCCCATTGGTTCCTCCCAGGAGACGCGGTGGCGGCACCCGCAGGTCTGTCCCTGTCACGGGGCAGCAGGTCTTGGCGATGACCAGGGCCGACGTGCCTGGCGTGGGGTGCGCTCTCTGCGAGCATGCCTGCTGCTGCTGTTTTACCTCATTCGGCTGAATGTGCCAGGCAGCCGGCAGCCGCAAGGTTCCTGGACACTGGGAACTGGGAGAGCAGACCTTGCCCTTTGCATCGTGGGTGAGGGACCCAGAGAGGGGGTACATGCTGCCGAGGTGGGCACCAGGTGCAGTGGGGGCTGCGGCCGGTTACGCAAGCCCACCGGGGAGCTGGGGCGCTGTTTGGATAGCTCTGTGCTCGGCCCCCACACGTAAAGTGCTCCTCAGCAGCAGGGCTGCAGGGAAGAGCACAGCCAAGTCTGGGAGCTCTGCCTGGGTCCCATTGCCAGCCCTGGTGCCTGTTCAGTCTGGGCCCGGCCTGGCCCGGCCTGGCCTCCTCTGCCTGTAGGGGTAGAGGGCAGGCTGGGCTCCATGAGGATAGAGACGGGGTCAGAGAGTGGTCAGGATGGCTGGGCAGGTGCCGAGGGCGGGCTGCATTCCTGGCTGATCTCTCATCGCCCCGTCTTCCCCCTCCAAGAGGAAGGGCCCCATGAAGGCCTGGTGTGTGGGTCCCAGGCGCATTCCCTCGGCACAAGAAGACCCTGCCAGTATCGGATTGCCGTCCTGTGCCACGCACAGACAAGGCCAGGGAGGCATGCGCCTTGCTCATGGACACAGCCTGCTCGGGGGTCCCCAGGCTGAACCCAGGCCCTGTCTCCTCGTGTGGCACCATGCTCCATTTGGGGCCGCAGGGCCCTGGTGGGTGGGAAGTTCCAAGGGTGAAGTTGCCGTTGCTGGTTGTGTAACTGCTTCTGTCCTCCCTCCCTGCCCTATCCTGGTGGGCAGGACCCACAGCGGGCAGGTGGTGGTGAAGGGAGGTGTCTCAGCCACTTTCTTATGGCCTGGACACAGTACCCAGGACCTACAGCTGAAAGGGGAGGTTTATTCTGCTTCCCATGTTTAATCCGTGGTTGGCTACCTCCAAGGCAGGACTCGCGGCGGAAGGGTCTGGTGGGGAGAGCAGTCCAGCCTGGCAGAGAGAAGGGAGAAACGGGAGAGAGACGCCTCCTTCCAGGCCCTGCCCCAGTGACCGGTCACCTCTCCCACGGGACCTCTAATGCAGTCACTGTCCAGGAGCTCCACCTGTAAGCAAGGAGATGAGGCCCTTGGGGAACACCGAGGTCGAACCCTAATGAGAGGCTTCAGCTCTTCCGCCAGCAGGATGCGGGCTGGACACAGCTCCTGGCCTCCTTTCCTCTTTCAGGCAGAGTACCGAGCTGGGCCCCAGGGCAGGTCCAGGCTGCACTTGGTAACGTGTGTGGGTCCCAGGGGCAGCAGCCCTGGGACCTGAGGCCTGTCCTGGGTACTCTTTCCTTCCCTCTCCCGCTCCCCTCCCTCCCTGGGCCTCTGTCTCCCACTCTCAGGAGCCTGTTACCAGAAGTACGGCCTTGCTCAGGCTCATGGGGGCACTGCATCCCTGATTGGAACGTTGTGGGAGACCCCGAGCCAGGGACTCAAGCTAAATTGGGCCAGAACCCAACCTGCAGGACCCGGGAGACAATGGCTATTTGCTGTTTGAAGCTAAGTTTGGGGCACATATGGCCTCCAGTCGTAGACAGTGTCACATGACCCGCTTGGCTGTCACCCCTGCCTCCCATCTCCGTCCCTGGGTCCAGCCCGAGTCCAGGCCTCGTCTACTGGCTGAAAGTCTGGCCTTGAAGTCCCTTCACCCTCTCGGGCTCATTTCCCCTTGGTTAGAGTTCATGGGAAGCACAGTGCACCTGCCCAGGGCAAGGCCATCCTGTTCTCCGTCCCATCCGACCTTTGTACTATGGAGTAAAGTGGGGACAGGCCTGACAGCCCAGGTGGCAGATGGGACCAGGGCAAGAACCAGCAGGGACGGAGCTGGGCCTGGGTCCCCCCAGCTGCAAGGCAGCCTGGGCCAGGACAGGGCTCCCAGGATTTGAGTGCATTAGGCCCCTTCTGTCCAAGCACATGCCCTCCACCGGAAGCCCCGTGCCTGCGAGCCCCAGGCTGTCCTGTAACCTGAGCGTCACTGCTCTGTCCCAGGCTGAACATGGAGACGAGTCTTTGGAGAGGGACTGGGTGGGGCCCCCAGGGGCTTAGGGTCCCTGGGTCCCTGATGCTCAGCTGTTCCTAGTCTGTTTCAGCCTGATCTGAAGGCCCATAGCTTTCTTCACAGCGTGGGACAAGGTCCCTGGACGTGGCAGCCCTCCCCTCAACCAGGGCAGAACCTGCTCTTCCTCAGGGCCAGAGCCGTGGACAGACCTGGAGCTCTGAGACAGATGGCTCTGCTTACGCTGCCTCTGTCACTCCAACCAGTCTGGCCAGAGAGACGAGTGATCCAGTCTGGGTCACTTCCTGCTGAGCGCAGGACAGGGCCTACCTCCGAGGAAGTGCAGGAAGCATTAACTGCCACCCTGTAGGGCGGAGCCATCGATGCACCACACAGAATGAGGCAGTCAAGCCGCATGCTGCCCTGGGAAGGGCATGGAACTGTCCGGTTTCCACCCCAACAACGCCGCAGGTGGAGAGGAAAACTGAGGCTCAGAAGAAGGAGCAGTCACGGGCTGGGAGACAGGGAGGTGGGGCTTTGGCCCAGGCCTCCCTTGGCTGTGTGTGGAGCTGGGCTGCGGGCGACCCCTGCAGAGGCTGTGGATGTGTGGGATGGGCCTCGTGGAGAAGCGGGCTGGCAGGCTGCCTTCCAGGCTCTGCAGAACAGCTTCCTGTTGCCATGGTGACCAGCCTCTCCTCCAGCCCAGCTCATTTTGGAGCTTGGTCTACATGGCAAG